CTCTATACTATTTTCATTATTTAAGAGTTTTAACTATTAATTAAGGTCTAACTAGAGGTATTTAAGAATCAATGGCTTAATCAATCATGTTTAATGGTTTATGAGCGGCTTATTTATGTATGATTAAAAAATTAATCATAATTAAGGCTAATTAGAGGTAATTAAGAAATAATGAGTTCACTCTAGCATGTTTTAGCTTCTTGCATAATTTAAAAGGCCATTTTACCAATGTTTAATGGCTAACTAGTGGTTTATTTTTGCATGATTATGAAGAATAATCATAATTAAAGCCTAATAAGCATTTCATTAGCACTTAATTATCATAAATAGGCATGATTTTCACACATCTAGCTTGAATTCATTTGGATCTTGACATGATCCTAGTGGATCTAGCCTTGATCATTGTGGATCTTTATTAGATCCATGTATCTAGATCCAAATTGATCTAATTGATGATTGTAAATCAGAGCAAAGTTCCTCTTTGCTCGATTCCTTTAGACCAAGGTTACTAATTTTCTCTATGTTTTTGGAGCTTTGGGGCTATTAATATTAGGATTGATAGTGACTCTCAATTCCTTTAGACCAAGGTTACTAATTTTATCCATATTTTTGGGGCTTTTGGGCTATAAATATTAGGATCGATAGTGACACTAGTGACACTAAGAGGGAGGTGTATTAGTGTTTCTGTAAATTTTAAACAATGATATTAAGATCAAACAAAGATGCAAGTATATGAAATCTATTTTTTTTTAGGCTTTTGGGTTATAAATATTAGGATCGGTCGAGACACTAAGGGGGAGGTGTATTAGTGCTTCTGTAAATTTTAAACAATGATATTAAGGTCAAATAAAGATGCAAGTATATAAAATCTAATTGACGCAAGTAAATAAACACAAGAGTGAAAAATAAATTAATTTATAATAATTCAATCATCATGATCTACGTCCACTCTCAATCTCATTTTTCTCGAGACCATTAGGTTTTACTACTACTTGATCTTGCTAACGAATGAATATCAATTATAATTTTTTAAAAAAAATCATCCAAAAATATGAATATTGATGATACTACCACCTATCCATATAGTACGACTATCAAACAAGATGTCACTTAAGCTATTCTAAATATATCAAAAAGTACTACCATCAATCTAGATGGTACCATTGCTAAGGTTGGATGGTACTATCATCTAGATTGGGTTGCCAAGCCTAGTAAAAACTTAAAATAGCCTAAAAACTAACTCAAATAACCTAGTTTATAAGGGCCTATGTTGAACCCAAGTAATAACTTAATTATAGCCCACTTAAGCATTATTAGAGTCACACAAAGAAAATCATAAGACTCTTAAACTTTTGTCTTAAAGCAGATTCTTCATCATCTAGTAAAGATTGGAGTTCAAATCTAAGTTGCTGCTCCTTCGAATGAAGAGCCTCATTGGAAGGAGCAACAAAGATAAGAGTTTTGAACATTACTTAATTCCTCTCTAACAAATGATAGGATAGTAGAACCATATTTTACAACTTGACGTGACCATTTCTTCAATCTAACATTGACCCCTTTTATCTTTTATATGAGAATAGGAGCAAACTAAACGTCTATAATAATTTTATGGAAATTAGGATAGTTAGAGCAATAGTTGAAGAATTTAAAACTCTTGTTCCTCTTGGGGGAGTTGCTGACCCTGAAAAAATTCATAGAATAATTAGAAATGTCAGGTGACAAAAATAATGCTTCCGAATCCACAAAGTGTAAGTACCAATCAGTATTAACCATAACTTCAAACTCCCAAAGAGGAGTAGATTATGTAAAATGATACCTCATCCATTTTAGATATGATAAAGAGAGCTCATGTAAATAATCTGAAATTTAAGTAAAGGTCAAAGAGCTTATAAGTTGGCCTCCAAACTTTTTATGGGGGAAGAAAACTATATTAAAATCACCTAGAACAGTTTAAGACCTCGTGCAAAATTGCCAGAAATCAACAAGATCCATCCAAAAATGATACATATCAGCATAAATATAAATGCCATATATAATCGATAAATTAGAAGATTTGCCCAAGAACTTGAAATGCACTGTGCCAAAAATGACTTGATCAATCAAGGAGTAAACTACTGGATCAACAATACAAGAATTCCATAAGCACCAAATGCGAGCATATAAGTACTGAGTTAGTATAAATGTGTCATTCCACAAGAAGACATTACAGCAGCATATTTAGAAGAGGCATTGAGATCCAAACATTCCACATGTCGATATTAATCATAATGGAGTAGTAGAAGAGCCCATCCCAGTAGTGTCAACAAATCTCGAGAGGCTCATTTTCTTTCAACACTCAATTATAAATTAATAAAGGTAAAACTCTGAGGCACGTCAGTGCAAACTTCATGCGATTGTTCTCTTAGAGTGGGTCTAATGAGTTCACTGGATGGAAATTTTCATACAATTAAGGTAAGCTTTGTTTTGTTTTCAAGATGTTGTTTTGGAACCCACATGATTTTTGTAGTAGCTTTAGAGTTGTTTCTGGTTGCATGACTGATGATATTGCATAAGGAGCATCTAGCATGCTTCCAATCATATTCAACCTTGATAGTGTAGTCATGACATTAAAAGATATCTGAATAGTATCTGATAATTACTTGCATGCAGAAACTTCAACACAAACTTCAACAAAACCAATACACTCTCTTCTACTTATTGGTTTGTCCAAGAATAGGGGTTTGTCGATTCTACTCACTATAGAACTCAAAATTTTTAAGGTTCACAGAAGGCATGTTATAGAGTTCCACCCAGAGAGGGAGGGATAGCAAAGAAATCAAATTTTTTTCTAATTGAGCCTCATGATCCCAATGACCGAAAATAAATAGTCTATTATGTATGTACCAAGGGCAAGATTTCATCACTATAAGAAAATCATCTTGGCTGCTGAATCTGAAAATAAAAATTTCTGCTTCCATTGAAAACACCACAAGTAACCCAACTAGTTTTCTTCTTGACAACATGAAAGGGTGATCGGGACCCAACAAATTTCTTCAAAATTCCTCCCCTTTATTTGTCTCATCCTCGAAAACCTTAAATGTAAAAAACACAATCATCATAGAAGACTAAATCCTCATGATATATATAGTACATAATTTTCATATCGAGGGGAGGGTGCTAAAACAGTACAAGACTTGATACCATGCTAATTTGCATTTTGATTAAGAGGAATGGATGATGAAGGGCCCCAATTTTGGGAGTTATTGTTGCCCTAGATTGATCAATACCTAAGTGCTAGAATCAAGTTCCCAAATTGGACAGGAAATCGCTTGCTAATTGACTCCATTTTAAATATCACTCCTGCGAGCAGTCACCAAACTCCAAACTGGGCGGAATATCAACTACTCATATTTAAAAATCAAAATCCAACCAAAAAATGTGTTGTTGCAGTAAAGATATATGACTATTTCATATCCTACTTTGACCGATGAAAATAAAAATTTCGATTGGATAAAAAGATTGCCGCTTGGATTGATTTTCCTGCCCAGCCATCAATCCGTCCTATTAATTTAAGATGCCAATAAATCCTACTACAATGCTCTCACATTGAGGCAGGCTCCAAAAGTGTACCATCTGTGGCTGGAGGACACGTTAATCCAAATAAACCACAGCATTATTTGTCAACCAGAGGTCCTAGAGAAATGAACAAGTCAACAAATCCTAACTTAGAAATTCGGATTAATTAAACTCTTAAGACTGACAAATAAAGGTAAACTAACACACAAATAAGAACGGCGGTTAACTATTGATTTATTAAACCACAGTTTATTCGTGTTCCTCCAAATAATCACCAACACACATGGCACACTCAAAGCCCTGAACCTACTTAGTGAGGTGTGCACCTCATCTAATTTTACCCTGCACCACCCTCTTGGTGCCAAACAAAACGCAGCACGCCTTGCTCATCCTATATTTCTCCAACAGTGCATTATTCCTTGTCTATATCACATCAAACTCTTTGCTCGTTTTATATCCCCCCCAAAAGAAAAAACTTAAATACAGGTACAATATTTTTGTATCAATCATCATTCACTGCAGCACTGTGTCAATGCAGTACAACAGAAATGTGCACCACCATCAATGTACAAATAGAACTAGATCCCATTTTCTACCATTGGACGGGCGCAACTTTATGATCCAAAGTAGCATCATCAGCATAAGGTAAGAGTGCAAGTGGGATCTCAAAGACTAAAATAATACTTTTCATGGTGGAAAAGGAATCTACAAGTGAAGCACAAAAATTAATATTAGTATCAGTTCTACTCCAAATCATATACATATAATTGTGGGAAGTTGAGAGGGTCATTCCCTAATGATGCTTTGGAGACTGAACTCTTTGAAAGCACTCTTCACAAGTGATTGGTCAAAAGCCGAGGCAGCATGAAGAGGAAAGAGCAACGCAATCTTGTTTGCAATAAGACCAAAAGCATAAGTAGAGCAAGAAGCCATATGGTTGGCAAAACTTCAATCTCCCCGTTATCATAAAATAAAATGACAATTAACAACACATATTCGACAACCATTTATGACCTTGCACACAGTGGAATCATTGAGCTTGATCTGAAAGTTACGTTTATTCTCTTTTGGACAACCACAATATTCCTCAAAGCCTAGAAAATATAACTTGTAAAATCTCCATGCTTAAATCCAATTACATTCTTAAAACTTACATGAAGGATCTTTTAAAGTAAATTGGCATAAATCTCAATGAGACAGTCTTATGCCTCATGCATAACAGTTCATGAAGTCAATCAACCCACACTATCTATTTCAGTTTTGGTATATATGAAATATTTCATCATTAATGATCAGCTAAAGGAAAAAACTAGATTAGCTGACAAAGTGAAGATGATGATAATTTCATGTCAGGGACCACCGATTCATCCCAATGGTACAAATAAACACCAATGGGGGCAGACGTCAAGTCCCACAACATCTAAAGAAATGCTGTAACAACAACCTCAAATACCAATGACAGCCAAATAGAAAACTTAAAACTTAAAATAGACCTTGCCTCACAAAAAAACTGAGAACAGGAAACTAACACGTATTATGTCCTAAACCAGCTGAAATTAATAGAAGTGCATCTACTTCTCATCATCCAGAAATAAATTAACAATGTCGGATACAAAGTGTTAAGCTTCACAAAATATAGTAAATATCCACAAGCAGGAACTTAGTAACCACATCCAGCCTGCTTCTGTTCATGTAGTCCTGCGTGTGCCAGTAAAACATATTAATTTACGCTTTCGTTGACACATCCATTGTAAAGTCAAATATACCATGGATGTAACGCCTTTGAAAAGCGAGTGCCGGGAATTTTTTGCACATGCTCATCACATCGAGAGACCCTGTCCCATGTTCTTCAAAGAATAGGTCTCTTGATATGCCATGTAAGCTCTTGGAATCGTTAGTTTGCCAAACAAATGTTATTAGCCAGAAATGGTTAAGAAATTGAACATCCTAACTCACAGACCATTAGACATTCAGTTCAATAGTAGTCCTACCAAAGAAGGATTCTACGTCTATGTGTGAAGTGTGCTCTAGGAATGACTAGAAAATTCTTTCTAAAGCATCACCCTGTTTTCATTTGAGCTTCTCTCTGCACAATTTACAATGGTTTGCCTTAGATAAGATTCGACTGTAATTCGATTTGTTTGGATGGCCTTATGTTATTAGTATCATTCATCAACAGAAAAAAGAAAAGAGAAAAAAGGATTTATATGTAGCATGCAATCAGGCACACAAGTGGACCATAAAACCGATAATCAAACACCTAGAGAGCATAAAGCAAGAAGTTGAGAGAGGGCCACGGCTCCATTGCATTTCATTAAAGTAGGAACAGAAAGACACCTGTTGCGATTCATTGAAGATGGCGAACCATCCTGCAGAGCAGGCAGCATTCACCGCGACTCGGCAGAAGACCTGTCTCTTCCACAAACGGTGTCGCCGCTTGCAAATAGAACGTAACCTAATTTGGAGAGGAGAACAAAGAAACCGAGGCGATGCGAAGACTGGAAAGACACGGCGGCGAGGTAGAAAACTACCCACCTTAGGGTTTGGTCTAGTCGCTGCACCAGCATACTTATAGAGAGGTAAACAATATCATATATGTAAAATTCTAGCACGTGCCTTGCAGACAAAGTCATCTTGGGCCGTCGGCCTCCATCAAACGACAAGGAGACTGACACGTCGATGATTCCAGAGGTACCTGCGACTCACGTGCATGATGAACACAAGACCTAGATTTTTTTTAACGGACCAGAATTTTTGGAGGGTCATAAATGTCATTTTAAATTAAATTTGGGCAAATTTCGAAAAAAAATATTCACAGCCCGCATTTTCCTATTAAACATTCCTTACTATTGATAATTTTTAAAAGATAATAAAATATTATTTTATTATTTTAATTCTAGTATTACTGATTTTTTTTTTCTTTCTCATAACTTTTTATTTTATCCTTGATATGATATCGATGTTGTTTGTCACCTCTCTCTATTTATTGCCAACGTTGCTCGTTCTCGTCGCTTCACGTTGTCTTTGAGGAGAAAAAAAGATTAGAAGGAAAAAAATCATATTTATATTTATTTATAAAAAAATAATTTAAAAATGTTTAAAAAATTAAAATTATAAATTATGAATAACAAATAACAAATAGAGGATTAAAGATAGTAATCTCCTTCGACAAATTCCCATATAACATCCCATTTCTAAGAACTTTTGCAAAGAGTCAACTTTTTAAAATGAAAAAGTAGTTTTTTAAGGAAGTGGGTTTTTAGATCAAATATTCAGGATATATTTTCTTCCTATTTAGAAGCTAATATATCAAAAAAACATTTTCTGGAAACATCATATTTTAATAAATTAAAGAAAATAGATAAAATTTTGAAGTGTTCAAATGCTAAAAAATTCAGAAAGATGTGGAATAAATTCCCTAGAATAGAAAAGATTAAAATTTTATCAATCTCAGTCCAATGTAAATGTTTCCTAAAAGAATCATATTGTTTTCACTAGGATTTGATCAGGTTATACTTTTTTGAATTGGCCCCAAAAAATAATATAAGTGGTTCAAAGCCTTGAATTTTTTAGGATCAAAATTTTAGAATAGATATTCTACAAGTTCCAATGTCAAATAACATTTCATTCAAGCATCATATTTTGATAAAATGTAATCATCGATTATTTTTTTGCCTCTCTTAATATAAATTAAATTATCATAAATAATATATTATTTTATTTAAATTATTAACTTCCTAGTTTGTATAGTATGATTAAGAAAATAATTAAAATTAATTTTATTAATCATGTGGACAAGTTAAAAATTTTATCAATTAATTAAATTATTAATTTGTTTATTTTCTAATTAGTGATATGATTTTTAAAAAGTAAATAGTTCAAATTCTATTTTTATGTGTAAACCATAAGAAATAAATATTATAATTCTATCTTTATATGTGAAAGTAAATTAAAAATAAAATTATTACTTAACTTTCAAGAAAAGTTCACTTCTCTATAAGATTTAGAAAAAGATTGCCAACAAGAAGTATGATCCTTTATTCTTTTCTTATCAAATTTTATTTATATATTTTTTTTAATATTAAAACTATTATAATTTATATGATGCATAATAGTATTTTAATTTGAAAGTTTTAAAATTAATAAATAATGATCATTAAATTATTATATTAGAATAATTATTTGATTTAATAATAGTTCTAATTTATTTTAATTTATTATTAATTTATTATTAATTTATTAATTATAAATTATTATTAAATAATTATTATGTTTCAATAAGTTATGTGTGAATTTATATGATTTAATTAGTTTTAAATTTAAAATCATAAATATAGATTAGTTAATTTATGAAAAAGAATAAATTTAAGATTAATTATTATTTTATAATATTTTAAAATATTAAAATTTATTTTAATAAGAGGGATACAATCGAACTCATTTGATTAGGCATAACCTATTCCATGTAGTCAAGTACAGCCCAGCCTATATGGCTAAGTATGACTCAAGTTATATGGCTAAGCATGACTCAACCCTTCTGGCTAGATATGATCCATTCTATATAGTTAGGCATACCATAACCCATGTGGCCATGTATAGTTCAACCCTTATGGTCAAGTATAGCTTAACTTGTATAGCCAAGTATGACTCAACCTATGTAATCAATGCAACCCATTTAACCAAGCATGACCTAGCTTATGTGACTATGCATAGCCCAACTCATATGACTACATATGACCTAACCCATGCGGTTAAACATGACATAACCAATATGGCTAGACATGACTCAACTTACGAGCCAAGTATGGATCAATCCAATGGTAAAACTTAGCCCAATAAGTGAGTGAGGCTCAGCTCAGCCCACAAAGCTAGATCTACCTAGTTATGTAATTAGTGTTAGACATATCATCATTCCTCTATCCAACTCATTATACTTTAGTCTAAACTATTATCTAAAATAGGCATTTGCAACGCATGTACTCAAGTAAGCCAGTTTGATCTAGGCTAGTACTATGTGACATAGTCTAATTTCTTATCTCTTTATTAGTTTAAGCTTATTAGTTAACTGATTCAAACAAGTTTAATCAATTCAAGTCGATTAAGGGTGATTCCAAGCCAACTTAACTAGTTCAAACCTATTTGACCTAATTAAAATTAATTAAATATAAGTTAAACTATTCTAGGAGAATTTCAAATCATATCTATAAGGATTTGAGATTAGTTCCATTATGTCCTAATTGAATTGAGTTTCACCCAAGTCAATTGGGATATTCTAATCATGGTTATAATTTATTAAAGATTATTGAGAGATTGATATCTTATGTTTTTATGATTTAATGAGCCTAAAAGTTTATTCCTTATTCTTCTGAGGTTATTAGCTTTTACTATAGTCTTACTTCCAATCGATGAAGATGAGTGATCCGTTACAACTCTCTACTTTTCGGGAGAGAAATTTTACACTTAATTACTTTAAAAATTCTTATATGTTCTAAACTTAATAATTCAACTAAAAACTCAAGAAGATAGAAGAAACTAAAAAAAAACACTAAGAGATGATTTAAATACTTTGAAAATTTATGATGGATGCCTCTTAGCCATACTCGAGGTGGAAATTTTATAACCCCTAAAGAGCCCAAAAATGAGGAGTAAAAATCATTAGAAGGTATCCAAATCAAGGGTATTGTGTTCCTATCATCATTCCAAGCAGTATGACCAATGACACATATGAAATGTCGCTACCCATGCCATTCGTTATCCTGGATGGTACCACCTCCCAAACTATAGATTTGTCCTAATTCCAACCCATATTAAGCTTACTTTGACCTTAGCTTAGCATAGCATAAAATTAGCCCAATTAAAATATAATTATATTTCAAATTATTTTCAAATAAGGTTTCAAAATATTAATAATTTCTTTTGGCACTTTGTCAATGCTTTTAGCATATTGTCCATTCTTCTAGCACATTGTCTGATCTTCTAGTATTTCGTCTGAACCTTTGAAAGATTACCTTAATCTCGAGCATATCGTTCAATCCTCTAATATATCAACCTTGTTGTAAGACTCAATCTTCTAGTATGATATCCAATTCTTTAACATGATGACTGAATCTCTAGCATGAAGTTCGATCTTCGATGTGTCGATCAATCCTTTGGCTCGACGTCTAATTTTTGACATGATAATCTTCTAATATAATATCCAACTCTTTGGCTTGATATTTACCCTTTAGTGCTCTAAGTCCATAGTCAAAATATTTTCTATATTATTTAATCAATATGGGGTTAGGGTTCAATGATCCATCGACTAGAAACTACATCTCAAATGAAAGTTTTAGTAGAGGAGATAACTATCACTAGAAGATCAACATAAAATTGAAAGAAAACAATCACTATTAGTTATGAAACTAAAATATAAACTATAAGATTTAAACTAATAAAATTAAAAAGTGTGTAAAGAGAATAACAAGTGTGTAGAGCATATGCCATCTTTTTGGACAACACCTGGGTGCTCTTAATAGATTACATTATCACTATCAATCTTGGTCTTTTCCTTCTTTTTTACTACTAACATCTTCTTCTAAGGTTCATAAAATGTCTAATAGGGCTTTAATATATTGAGCACATATGCCATGCCTTTTAAGGAGTTTAGCAAATGGACATTGACATTGTCCTAATTCATCATACTTTCAATAATATTTACCACCTCTATTTGGTATTATAATTTTCGTATTTTTTATTTAATTACTTCTTTAATGTACACCCGATATCCACAAATTAAGATTTTTTATGCAATAGATAATTATAACTATAACATAAAAAATCATCAATATAAGTATATATAATTTTAAAAAGTTGTAAACATCTTTTGGCTAGCTTGTGTGTCCTTGTCTATTTTCTTTTAATATAATCAATACACATGAGTAAAATTTAGATTCAAAAGAATCTTATTTTTTTTATCAATCTCTGTATTCTTTCTTTAGATATATGGTCCAAACATTTATGTCATAAGAATGTAGAATGCTCATCTACTAACATTGTTGTGGACCTTGTACTTTAGTCCCTCCCTATTTCTTTTTTCAGTTCATAATGAATTTTAACATAAATAAGCTTGAGATGACTCTTTTTTAGCTCCTCAATATGTTGAGAGAGGCTAAGAGTACTATCAAGAAAAAGAAGCCAATTCTCTATACCGATGATACCAGAAAGAAAAGGAAGGTAGAAAAGTCCCTTAAGAAGGGCAAGGGCAAATTGGGTAACGTAAAGGTTGCTAATAAGGACCCAACAAATGACAAAGGCTGGTGCTTCCATTGCAATAAAAACGGTTCCTGAAGAGGAACTACAAAGAGTACCTTGTAGAGAAGACGAAACAAAAGCTTAGAAAAGCTTTTGATATATTCATGATTGATTTCCATCTATCAGAAAATTATGATAGTGCATGGGTATTGGATACTAATAGTGCATCTCATATCTGCAATTTATTGTAAGTTTTGGTAAGGTCTAAGAGATTGATGAGAGGCTAGGTGAACCTTAAGATGAGGAATGACACAAAGATTGTTGCTA